TAGGCAAAGAATAAAGGAGGGTTGATGGGAAAGAAAAAAAAATTGAAATTAGGGTAGAAGTGGAAGATGATAGAAAAGATAGGCAATAAATAGGGAGGAAATAGATGGGAATCTAAAAAAGAAAAAAGGATTATAGGAAATAGAGATTTCCTTGGTTACTGTAGCTGCTAAAGTAATGTGTCAGTACTGCGTGTCTAGGTACGCTCTTGCCTCACTAATATTATCAGTATTATGCCCATAAATTTTCATATGATATGATATTTAGAAGGGTAAGCCAAAACCCCAAAATTTATTTATTTTTCCTATTGCTTGGGCTTTCTTTTTAATTTCAGTAGTGGTGTAACCATTTAGAAATTTTATTTTTAGGTAGAAATAACAAGGTTCTTTTACATAAATAGGGTTTATTTTACTTGGGTTCCAAGTTTCCTATAAAGACAAGCCTCTATAGTTAATTACATCTCAAATAGCTGGAGTCACTTGAGAAAACTCTCGATGATGATCAGAGGTACTAGTCTTCAAGATTTCAAAGTTTGGGTTTTCACGGTAGGACGTGAAAAATGCAAGTGGGAGTGGTTTATATAGGAACAATTATTTTCAAGGGTCCAAAGGAAGAAAAAAGTAGGGAATGTCACAGATCCTGAGGAGAACCCTCAGTGATTTTTCAAACTATCCTACTGTGTGGCTGCATTTTTAGAGATGATGTTATTTGAATGTTTAATCTTGTCAATTTTATTATTTGGGACTTACATCTGCATAATATCTGATTATGCAAATAGCCCGCAGAGATAAGAGGGTTTACGTCGTGTCACACGACAACCTCGGAACCTAAGGCGGGTTAGGACTTACAACTTATTTAAATTGGGAAGATCTCGTTAGTAACCATGTGTTATCTTATCGAGAGACTCGTAAATTCAAAAGGACGTGTTATGTTTTTGTTTTATTTTAAAAATGTTGTTTAATTTTGAAAAATATTTTTGCTTTGAAATTGCAACAAGACATGCGTGATATATATTAAAGCAAGAGTAAATTACAATAATAAAAAATGACAATAAAGAAACTGTACACGCGTACTGGTGTACCTGTTGCTGTTGTTCCTGCTGCTTGGTTGCTCTTAAAGCAGAATATATTTGCAGGAAATTTAAATAAACTTGTGAGGAAAGTAAGCAAAGCGAGGAAACTTAGCACGAAAGCCAGAAAAAAAATGAGTTGTAGAAATCACAAGCAAAAGAAATCCGTAGTCACATATGAAACACCAGGACTGGGTGTAAGACATTGGTAAAAGTGGGAGCTCAGAGCTGGACTGTGTGCTTCCCGATCTTGAACAAGAGCTACTAGCCCGACAATCTACGGAGGACAATTCTTAACCTCAATCTGAATGATTAGCCATGGACCTTTATAAATTTTCACAGAAAATTTTTTTGATTTTCATGCAAAAGTTGTTATTCAAGTCTATTTTATGCAGAGTTCTTTTTTAACATGCAAAAGAAATTTTTTTATTTTTATTTTTGTAAATATTTTGTAAAATCGTATAGTCCACAGGCTAGTCACTCTAACCGTGCTAGAGTAACTAGCCCGACAATCTACGGAGGGCAATTCTTAACCTCAATCTGAATGATTAACCATGGACCTTTATAAATTTTCATAGAAAAATTCTTTGATTTTCATGCAAAATTTGTTGTTCAAGTTTATTTTATGCAGAGTATTTTTTAACATGCAAAATTTTTTTTTATTTTTTTATTTTTGTAAATATTTTGTAAAATCGTATAGTCCACAGGCTAGTCACTCTAACCGTGCTAGAACTACTGACAACCTAAGCGTGTCGGGGGCAACGATCCCACCAAGAATCGTCGACTAGTATCATGGATCCTTTCCTCTCCCTTATTGAAGATTCTTGAGGTAGGAGATACTATTCTAATAATCCTACTTCGTATCCCTTGTTTAAGCACACATAAGCAATGTCGTCATCGCCCTCGCCACTTAGACCCTAAACTTATCCTAGTCTGATGATCCATATATGACATTAACAAATTTCCCCAATTGCCAGAAGGATTTGAGTGTAATATCTAAGCTCAAATCCCGGTGCACTGGATTTCACTATAGGTTAAGTCATTGCGGGAATTTCACTATTGATTTAATTAAGGAAGCATGAACTGCGTCTCGGTGCATCCTAGTGTCTAGTGTCTTGATCAGTTTGTGAATCAGGGTCAAGTGCCTAGTTTCATTATTCATTCAAAAATTAGGTGGATGAACGCTTACCTAGGGTGTGTTCCCAAAATCTAGGAAGCCTATGCTGAAAATTAGGTGGATGAACTCTCACCTAGTCTATGCTAAGAATTAGGTCGATGGACTCTCACCCAGGGTGTGCTCCTAAAATCTAGGAAGCCTATGCTGATAATTAGGTGGATGAGCTCTCACATAGGGCGTGCCCCTAAAATCTAGAAGTCTACACTTTAACTTGTGCTTAAAGTGATTTAAGTCATTCTACTTTCAATTAAGGGTGTGCTCCTAAAATCTAGGAAGCCTATGCTTTAACTTTTGCTTAAAGTGATTCAAGATATTTCACCCACAATTAAGTGTTTTCCAACTAATTTTCAAATATTTCTAAATGTCTTCTAAATAATTAAATCAGAAACTCTCACTTTTCGACTTAACCATTTAAAAAGGGAAATAAAACGAAAGAAAGGGAAAGGTCGACCCACTTCCAAAACTAGAAAAGCGAAAAGGGGAAACGACAAGTAGATTGACTTAAAAACGTTTAAATGACAATCGATTGAAACCCAAAATAATGGGAAAAGGGACTCCCTAGAACCAATTCTAAACCGCATGTGAATCAACACTTAAGAACTACATAAACCTCTTGAAAATAATGCATGAAACAACCCCAAAATAATACCTTCAATGCCTCCAAAACAGTATTCAAGACTAACCCAAATCAACCATCAAAAGACCCCAAAAACAGGACCCCAAAAACAATGCATATATTGCCTCAAATCATCCCACCAAAATGCACCAAAACGGTGCCAAAATAGTGTCA